GGCAAGGGGGAAGAGAATCCAGGAGGCCTTTAAAGGGAGCAAAAATGGGGTCTGGAAGGCGAGTCCCTGGAGGCTGGACCAGAAGAAAGTGCACACTGTGCACCAGTGATGAAACCCAACTCTGGACCCGAAATGCAGAGGTGAGGGGTGGGGCAGACGTCACTAACTGAGGGTGGTGGGTGAACAGCCTCACAGTAGCCATCACAGGGCCATAGGCAAATAGGCCACTAGGTCACAGAGGGCTCCTTCCAACTTGGACAGGAAGGCACAGTCTCACAGAGAAGGTCCATTGACGCCTGGGTGGTAGAAGGCACAGAGATCCTCATATCGACAGTGGCCCTTTTTGGCAAAGTGTCGGCAGACAGGGCGATCAGATTTGTCTGTGAACAACCGAAAATCGGGCAATTTAAAATGTAAGAAGAAAACAAATGTAAGAGAAAGCAGATAGAGAAGGTGGTCAGATTTCCTACTCTCTTTCTTCCAGATGCTTTAGAATGGTAGTCTTTCTCCTGGGAGAAAATACATTCAGGCCTACTCCTACTTCCAGACAAAGGACAGCCCCAGGAAAGAATCAGGGTCACTCTGGGAGTGAAGGGTATTAAGTGTATACAGGCATATAGAAAATGGACCTCACCTTCTTTAACCCGGGGTCCATCCTTGGGTGGGCAGGTATTTTTGACAAGTGACCAGCTTTTGAGCCTTCGAGGATGTCTCTGTTCTTTGTGAAAGCCTCCCATGGAGGGACCACCATGGCTTGGTCCGGGAACGGGAGGCTCAGCATTGACCCCCCACCAACCACGACCATAAGGGCCAAACCTGGGGTCTAAGCCTCCCCAAACTGGGCCTCTGCCCCGGGGAGGAGGTGGGAGACTCAGCAGTGGTGGAATCCCTGGTCCCCTTGATCCTGGAGGACCTCTGTGAAGAGCTAGAGAGAGAGAGAAAGCCATGGAAAGGTGATCAATGGCCAGCTTACTCCTGATAAAGAAGCTCTGATTCTTTTTTTTTCACTTTTTATTGAAATACATTATACATACAAAAAAATACTCCAACTTCAAGTGCACAACTCAATTATCACCAAAGTAAACACACTTGTGTTTCCACCACCCAGGTGAAGAGATAGGACCTTATTAGCACTTCAGAAGTCACCCACCCTTGTGTCCCTCCTCCCCCACTATGCCACCCTCCTCCCCAAAGGTAACCACTGTTCTGACTTCTAGCACCACACGTTAGTTTTTGCCTGGTTTTGAACTTTGCATAAGTGGAATCATACAGTCTGCATTCTTTTGTGTCTGGATCCTTTTGCTCAACATGGTGTTTGTGAGATTCATCCAGGTTGCCTGTAGCAGGAGCTCGTTCATTTCCAGTGCAGTGTAGTATCCCATTGCATGCACACACAACAACTTATTTATCCATTCTAGTGATGGTGGACATGTGGGTGGATTCCAGTTTGGGGCTATAAGGAAAAATGCTGCTATGAACATTTTTGTATATGTCTTCGTTGCAAATATGTATGCATTTCTGTTGAGTATATACCTAGGAGAGATATTGTTGGGTCCCAGAGTAAATGTATGCTCAAGTTTAGTAGATAAAGTTAAACTTTTCCCAAAGTGGCTGTACCAGTTTATACCCCCACCAGCAGTATGTTCCACTGCCTTGACAACACTTGGTATTAATCAATCTTTTTCATTTCTGCCATTCTGTTGAGTGTGTTTTCTTTTGTAATTTGTGGTAAAACATGTAACATAAAATTTGCCACCTTAACTATTTTTAACTGTACATCTCAGGAGTGTTAAGTAAATTCACACTGTTGTGCAACAGATCTCTAGAACTTTTTCATCTTCCAATATTGAACCTCTATAGCTACTGAACACTCCTCTTCCCCCTCTACCCAGCCCCTGGCAACCACCATTTTACTTTGCATCTATTAATTTAGCTACTTTATTATTATTTTTTTTGGTAAAGATTTTATTGGGCAATTGGGGAAGGGGAACAGCCAAGCTGTTGTCCTACAATCTTAGTTGTGGAGGGCACAGCTAGCTCAGCTCCAAGTCCAGTTGCCACCCGGCCGGCCGTTGGCAGCTCACGGATGCTCAGCTCAAGGTGCCGTGTTCAATCTTAGTTGTGGGTGGGCATAGCCCACCATGCGGGAGTCAAACTGGAAACCCTGCTGCTAAGAGTGCATACTTCTAACCATGGAATCATCCAACCGCCTGCCAGCAGCTCAGCTCAAGGTGCCATGTTCAATCTTATTATAGTTGCGGGTGGGCATAACCCACCATCCCATATGGGAGTTGAACAGGCAACCTTATTGTTAGGAGAATGCGCTCTCACCAGCTGAGCCATCCTGCCACCTGTTGGCAGCTCAGCGGCAGCTCAACTCGGGCGCAGCTCACTGGCCCATGTGGGAATCAAACTGGTGACCCTGTTACTCAGAGCTCGTGCTCTTAACCAACTGAGCCACTTGGCTGGCCCCAAATTTAACTACTTTACATACTGCAGATAAGTGTAATCACACAGTATTTGTCTTTCTGTAACTGGCTTATTTTATTTAGCATAATGGCCTCAAGGTTCATCTATGCTATAGCATATGACAGGACTATCTTACTTTTGAGGGGCTGAATAATATTCCACTGTATCAATATACATTTTATGTATTCATCTGTTAACAGACATTTGGGTTACTTCCACCTCGACTTCTGTGAATAGTGCTGCCATGAACATGGGTGTGTAAATATCTTTTTAAGATCCTGTTTTCCATTCTTTTGGATAAAGACCCAGGAGTAGAATTGCTGGGTCATTAATTCTATTTTTCAAGGAACCTCCATGCTGTTTTCCATAGTTGTTGTACCACTGTGCAATCCCGCCAACAGTGCACAAGCGTTTCAATTTCAAAGTGATATGTTTTTATCTTGCATTTATTTTTAGACTAATGATGTTCTTATTCACACGCTTTTTGGTCATTTAAGTTGCGGTTTTCATGAGGTGGTTATTCTGGTCTTTTGCCCATTTTTCTAAAAGGTTGTCTAGAAAAGTTCTTCATATATTCTAGAATGAGCTCTTTTGATTACATTTGTTGTATTTTCTACTCTATGGCTCCCTATTAATTTCTTAATGGTGTCATTTGAGTAATAATAGAAGTTTACATTTCTTAATGTAGTTCAGTTTGTAAATCTTTCCTTTATGGTTAATGTGTGTTTCCTGTCTAAGAACTCTTTTTTTTTTTTTTAAGCTGAGCCATCCTGCTACCTGTTGGCAGCTCAGCGGCTGCTCAGCTCGGGCCAGGAATCGAACTGCTGTTGCTCAGAGCTCTTAACCAACTGAGCCACTCGGTTAGCCCTAGGAACTCTTATTTACTTCTAAGACCACAAAATATATTTATTTTCTAGAATTGTTTCTTTACCTTTTACACTCAGATCTAGAGTCCACTTGGAATTAATGTTTGCATATGGTATAGGTCAAATTTCAACCCCCCCCCACGAATATTCAATTAATCCAGCATTATTTACTGAAAAGTCCACTATTTCAGTTCCATCTTGATCATAAATGAAGTGTCCACATATGTGTGGGCCTGTTACTGGACTCCTTTTGCTGTTCTATTGGCTTATGTGTCCATCACTGTGCCAACACTACACTGTCACAACCACTATAGCTTCACAGTAAATCTTAATATTCAGAGCAAGCCCTCCCAATTCAAGACTGCCTTTTCTGTCTTCCCCTGATCCTTTCATTTCCATATAATACTGTAGAATGTTTGTTTACACACTCACATACACAAACACACACACACAAAGGGGGTTATAACTGGGAATGCATTGAATTGACAGATCAATTTGGGAAAAATCGACATTTTTTACAACACTGTGTTTTCCAATCTGTGAATATACAACATCTCTTCATTCATTTAGGTACTGAATCTTGATCTTTTGATTTTAAGTCCTTCCTGGGTTTTAGTCCTTCCCTTGCTCCCTTCTCCAGGACCTAATCAAAAGATCAGGGCCCCTTCCTCCTCACCTGACTTGGGGTCACCAGGCTTTCCATTGGCCATGGGGGGAGGGCCCAGAAGGCTGGGTGGTCCTAAGAGTAGACATGAAAATATAGTCATCGTAATGGACTAAAGGACTGGTGATCCTATTCTTATATTTTTGTTCTATTACTCATTTCTTAAGTCAACCAGTAAAGCCAGGTATATTCTCAGCTGTGTTACAAGTTTTCACCCCATCTATCTGCTCTTTCCTCTGCAAAAGTTTTCAGGATTGGCAAAAGTGGAGGCTTGGTCAAGGGAGATAATGCGGGAGGAATACCTATGATTTTCTTTCCCCAACACTGTTGCTATGCAAAACATCCTGAGGTAATCCAACCCCACTCTAATAGCTCCCCTCCGTCCCCGTAGTTTAGAGAAGGATACACTTCCACCTTCCCTGTGAAAGTCTGCACACAAATTGTTATTGCAACCTGCAACCTCTCTAAGGCCGTTCTGCAGCAGCGCACACGAGCTCTTCATCCTCTCCTCCCCTGCCTTCTTTAGAAAGCTTTAGGGCCAGATTGAAGTTGAGGGTTCAAGAGAGAAATCCTCTTTCAGGGCTGGAGCCCTCCCCTCCCACCCCAGCGCGTGCGCCCTTCCTCCTTCCATTGGAGCCCACTCCCCCGCACCTTTTCAGCCCCTAACCCTTCGCCCTGATCAGCTGGCAGAAATGTGCACACTCCTCCCGGGCTCCTCACCGATGGGAATCCCATCCTCTTCGTCTTCCGTCTCTTCACGCTTTAGCAGCTGGAGCTGCTGCGGTGGCGGCTGCTGCTGCTGCTGCTGCTGACTCTGCTTCTTTCGTCTCGGCATCGTGGCTGCGGCAATGGCTGCAGCGAGATTTGGAGGGCAGTGAGGAAGGGGCACGCTGAGATTGTTTCCGCTTCCGGGGGGGGGCGGTGGGCCCGAGGCTAAAGCTCCAGCCATTTAACTTCCGGAAGGCTGTGGGGAGCCCTTGTGCAGCTCATTTTTACTAAGCTGCCTCCCTCTGTTCCTGCCAGGCACGGCGTAAATCTCAAACCTCCCCTTCGTTGCGCTCCTATAAATGCTTTAAAAAATGTCTCCTCCCCTCGCTGAAAAAGACTCCACAACCGGCTTTCCACAGTGTGCAATAGAGTCGTCAGGCTCTCGGGCAAGAAGGTCTGAGAAGAGGGCTGTCGCACGCTAAGGTCGTCACATCCGGTTCCCGGTTACTATGGTAACAGCTGCAGGCACAACTTCGTGACCTCTGACCTCCCCCCAATTCCTTGTCCCACCTGGGCTTCCTTCCTCGCCTGCGCTTGCCCTGTGATCTATACACCTGCTTCTTCTCATCCTTCCACCAGGAATTTGGGTGCCAGCAGGGCGGTGCCCTGGATACCTTGGACCGCTACCGCTCCTCAAGACCTCTGACCCTGCCCCAGTGTAACGCAGCAACTGGGCTCTATTTCCCCGCGCGCAGTCTCGGTTTCCACTCTGGTCAAGGCCGGAGGCTGGGAAAGCAGCTCCGGCGTGTCCACGCTTCCCTCTCCCCTAGGTGGTAGGACCCGCCTCCCGCTCCACCGCCCCCTCCAGGTGAGTGGTAGCTTCTGCCAGGAGCGCAAGGTGGTGGTGACACGCATCCCCCCTCTTCCGAGCGTGCGTTGGTAGCGTCCGTGACGAAGCCAGCCCGATCCTCCCACGCGCGCCTCCTTCCTCGCGGCCACTGCACCCTTTCGGTGCCCCTGGCTCTCACGTGCGGGGAGCTCACCCCACATCATCTTGCCTAGCTCCAAGAGGGAAGTGACTGTATTCCATCCCCCTCTTCCTTCTTCCAGCCGGGCTACTGGGGCAAATCGGCCGGGCCCGCCCGCTTACGTCACCTTCTAGCCCCGCCCCCTCGAGGGTCCCGGGCCCTTGCGGCGGGGGCTGCCCGTGGAGGGTGTAGTCAGTTGAGGCGGCGGGAGCTCGGCGGAGTAGAGGGCCAGGTGACTGGTCCGGGCCATGCCGAGGAAGAAGCCCTTCAGCGTGAAGCAGAAGAAGAAGCAGTTGCAGGACAAGCGGGAGCGGAAGCGAGGTCAGTGCAGGAGCGAGAGGAGGGGGCGGGGCTCGGGTTCCCGCACGTCTAAAAGGAGGGGTGTACCCGCCGCACCTCTGGGGGGCGTGGGAAGGGGTAGTGGCTGTGAGCCGTTGCGCGCAAGCGACTGCAGAGGGTATTCCTTCACTCCAGTCCCCCTACATGGAAGGGGTGGGGAAGGATGAAGAGTTGGGGGAGGGGAATCCCTCCAGCTCGAACGGGCGCCATCCCCGCAGATCCCTGGAGGAGGAGTGACTACCCCCACGCACATCTAGGAACGTCCTGAGCAGGGAGAATCGGGCCTCAGAAGAAGTGGGGTAGGGTGAGGGGGAGCCAAATCCAACGGGGAGGGGGTCTTTTGGCCCCTGAGAGCCGGGTAGCACTGGCGTCACCGGCTCCTCCCCGCAGGGCTTCAAGATGGGCTGCGATCCAGTTCCAACAGCCGCAGCGGGAGCCGAGAGCGGAGGGAGGAGCAGACTGACACCTCGGACGGGGAGTCTGTGACCCATCACTTCCGTAGGCTCAACCAGCAGCCTTCCCAGGGGCTGGGTCCTCGAGTCTATGACCCAAATCGGTGAGAGGGGGCTGTGGGCACTGGCCTGGCCTTCCCCGCCTACCAGGAAGTCAGAGAGTTGGGGGCAAGCCGGCTGCCGCCGGCTTGAAACTGGAGATAGTATGGCTAGGATGCCATGGTTCTCTGCGGGCGCTGGGCTCCGGGAGTGGACACAATTTTCCCTTCTGATGGGGCTGGAGAGAGTTGGCTGTTAAAAGGACAAGGCTTAGGGGAAGACCGAATATTGCGTGAAAGAGGGACTTGGGGGAGGGCCTACTCAGAGAGGCAAACAACCTTGGAGAGAAAGCTTTGTGAAGTTGTCTGCCCAAGAGGAAAGTCTTTTTGTGGCCACAGGATTGCAATAGATGCTGTGGTCCCGTCCCATTAGATACCGGCTGCATTTTGAGCGGGACAGCCGGGAGGAGGTGGAGAGGAGAAAGAAAACAGCTCGGGAGCAAGTGCTGCAGCCGGTCAGTGCCGAAGTGCTGGAGCTGGACATCCGGGAGGTCTATCAACCTGGCTCAGGTGGGTGAGAGCTGGCTGTTGGGGATAGACACTGGGCTGGGGGAAGAGGTGTGGAGGAGTAAAAGCTGATTGTGAGGAAGGAGGGGTCTGGGATGCACCCTGGAGTCCTGAAACTATCCTTAGACTTCCTTTGACTTTTTCTTGACTTTCCAGTCCTGGACTTTCCCCGACGTCCTCCTTGGAGCTATGAGATGTCCAAGGAGCAACTAATGAGCCAGGAGGAACGGAGCTTCCAGGAGTATCTTGGGAAGATTCATGGGGCTTACACCTCGGAGAAACTCAGCTACTTTGAGCACAATCTGGAGGTGAGAATGGAGTGGGGGCAAGAGTAGGGCGTAGCGACCCAGGGTCAGATTGGTCTGGGGTCAGGCGGGAAAGGGACTCTGGGCTCAGGTTCTCTTCCACTGACCTTGTCTTTTCAGACGTGGAGGCAGCTGTGGCGAGTTTTAGAGATGTCTGACATTGTCTTGCTTATCACTGATATCCGACATCCAGTGAGTACTGGGATGAGGTTGGGAAAGCCGGAGGCAGGGGGGAAGATTCTTGTGGGGTCCAGGGCAGAGGCAGGAGTTGGGAGACAAAGAGGTATCCTCCTTCCTTTCCGGTCTCCTTTACGCCGTGCTGATGTCTGCAGTCAGGGTCTCAGTCCTTTATCACCAGTGCCACAGCCTGTCATTCCTTCCCTGGCCAACTGACTCTCCTCTCATTTATTCCTTTGATGAAAAACTACATATCCTGTTTCCCAGCCCAGCAGAGCTAAACCAAAAGAAGGTCCCAGAGTGGTGCTCCTGGGGATTCCATGGAAGCTGCTGAGGGCTTGCCCCTGTCCTGCCCATCAGCCAGCATAGGACTGGCCTGAAATGGTGGGGTTAGGCTCCAGACTCTGCTGCTGGACGGCCGTTGTGTGACCCTGCTCTGCTACTTCACTGTTGTCCTCCAGTGGGAGAAAGGGAGGTCTGTGGGGACATGTAGGTTGGAGGTCCTTAATGGCATGTACATACACACTCCTACACAAATGCACAGGTGTTACCCCTGCTTTGTCTTCATAGTTCAGTTTTGCTGATTTACCTGTTTTGTACCAGAATCTGCTACCACCAGGGTCTTGTCTCTGAGCTGTGCCTGCTGAGCTGGAGGCAGAGGACTCTGGGGTGACCTCCCATTACTCATCCCCTACCAACCCTGTCCCAGGTTGTGAATTTTCCACCAGCACTTTACGAGTACGTGACTGGAGAACTTGGGCTGGGCCTGGTGCTGGTCCTGAACAAGGTGGATCTGGCCCCACCGGCTCTTGCAGTTGCCTGGAAGCATTATTTCCACCAACACTTTCCCCAGCTCCACGTCGTCCTTTTCACCTCTTTCCCTCGGGACCCCTGCACCCCACAGGATCCTAGTAGTGGTGAGTGGCAGTGAGGAGGGCAGCATGGGAGAGGTGGGGTGGCAGGGGACAAAGGGAGAACAGAGAGGCTTGTGGACAAGGGTGTACCAGATCTTGGACCTAAGGGTGGTGAGAGAGGTGGGGTGTGCTAACCCTTTTGTGCCTTCTGATCTCAGTCTTGAAGAAGAGTCGGAGGCGGGGAAGAGGATGGACTCGGGCCCTGGGGCCGGAGCAGTTGCTGAGAGCTTGTGAAGCCATTACTGCGGGGAAAGGTTTGTGCCTCTTAAAGGGAGATGTGGCAGGCTGTCAGGAGACCCAAGGTCCGGAGTCATTTTACTCACCTTTCCTGAAGTCAACCTCTGTATTCTGGACATAGGCGAGAGGCCGGGGGAGGGTCAGAAGAGGGAGCAGACTGACTTGGTGGGACAGGAGAGGCAGCAGGTCAGCAGGAGCCCCAGGGTCACTGCCTTAAGGCTTTCCAGAACTAGTCAGAAAATTCAGAGAAATGCACATGATTCCAGGGTGGCATCAAGTGAAGGCTGGGGAGAGTCAGCTGTGGGGCAGGTTGGCATTACCCAACTCAAGAGGGCACCAGTTACATCAGCTGTGCAGTGTAGTCTGTGCTATCACGTACAGTGGCTCTAGGGAGAACCTTCTTTGTCGTCTTTCCTGAGCAGTGGACTTGAGCAGCTGGCGGGAGAAGATTGCCCGGGATGTGGCTGGGGCCACCTGGGGGAATGGCTCTGGTGAGGAGGAAGAAGAGGATGATGGGCCCGTGGTGCTGGTGGAGCAGCAGACCGACTCGGCGATGGAGCCAGCTGGCCCAGCCCGGGAGCGCTACAAGGATGGGGTGGTGACCATTGGCTGTGTGGGTAAGGGAACAGTGCGATGCGTGGCGGCCCCAGTGCTTGGACAAGAGGGGAGCGGGTCAGGCGTCATTCGGCTCTAGGTACCTGGAGGCCGTGTGCCGTAGTGGAAGGACTGTGGCGTGCCTGAGTTAAACCCCACCTCTCTTCAGTTGGTACCAATCTTGAGCAAGTATTTACCCACTGAGTCTTAGGTACTTTGGCTTTTAAAATGGGGACACTGATACCTAAGTAAAAGAACAGATGTGAGGAGTGAAGGGAAGAGGATAGAGAGAACCTAATAAAACCTGATAAATAGTGATAATAGTAATAATAATTGTTAAAACTTAACATTTATGTGGTACTTACTATGTGCCAGGCACTGGTCTAAGTGACTTGTATGTGTTAACTCTGGGAGTTGGAGTAATTAGTCCATAGCAGAGAGGCCCTGAAATCATACTGGGGGCTTAGCAAGTATTAGTTTCTTTCTTGGTCTGAACCTTTAAGTCTGTTGTCAAGGAGACTTTTCCCTTAGTGCAGACATTTGTCTCTGCCCTTGGTGTGGGGAGAAAGGAAGGTCTGATTAGGGCCCAGAGCCTGTTTTAATGTGGGTGGGGGAGGAGAGAAGTGACTTTGGCAAAGTTGTGGCACTGAGGTGTCACCAGAACCAGAAAAGGCCCAGCCTGGAAGAAATTAGGGAGAGCAGAGCAGAGTAGTTGGTTCCTTGGAAATGCTCCTGACTTACCTTCCAGTCTCCTTTTTGTCTTGGGCAAAACCTACCTGGCCGCTGACAGACCACTCCCTCTCCAGCATTCCCACCTGGCTTCCCTTCCCTGACTTTGGACCCCACTGCTTCTCCCAGGAGGCTGTGTGCCCTCTCTCAGCAGCCTGTGCACTAACTGACCTGTGCTCGGGGTGTGACAGAGAGAGTTTGTGGCACCAGCAGCCTGAGTTCAGATTCCTCTCCATCCCTCGGTCATTTATCCCCCAAACACTGAGCAGCAGGTGCCAGGTGCTGTTCCAGGGACAGCACGGATGTGCTGCCGTGAGAGTGGCAGGAAACCCCTGCCCTCACGGAGCTTGTCTTCTGGTGAGCAAATGGATTCATTATTTGAAATCATGTTATTTAGGGGGGTCCTCCAGGAAAGACTCAGAAGAGATCTGGGTTGATGGGGAGAAGTGGCTGTTTGGAGATGCGGGGAAAGGGCCTTCCAGGCCAAGGGGCCAATCAGTGAGAGGGTCTCAGGGTGGGAAGGAGCTTGTTGACTGTGGACCCAGCCAGAGTGCCAGGGGGATTAGAGAGAGAGACTGGGAGGAGGTCAGAAAGGTCGTCAGGAACCACGTTATGGGAGGCGTGTGGGATTTACTCCAAGTCTGATGAGAAGCCAGTGATGGGTTTTGAGCAGGGGAATGACAAGATCTGATTTCTGTTTTAGAAGTTTATTTGCTGAATGGAGAATAAATATGGGGGGTGGGCAAGAAAGGAAGCAGCGCACAGTCAGGCTACTGCAGTGGACTTCCAGGTTGTTTTTTTTTAAAGATTTTATTGGGGAATTGAGGGAGGGGAACAGACAAGTTGCTGTCCTTTTGTTCTTCAGTCCAGTTGTGGAGGACGTCACTTCACTGGTCCATGTTGGTATTATCATTGCACTCTTCCCGGGTGAGGCAGATCGGTCGCCGGCCTCTGGACGGCCGCTCACGGCGGCTCTTGGCAGCTCACGCAGGCTGCCAGTCGCTCACGGTAGCTTACGGGAGCCCACTGCAGCCCCACTGCAGCCTACACCGTCACCAGCGACTCACGGCTGCCCAGCTCCAGGTCGAGCTGTTGTTCACCATTTTAGCTGTAGAGGGCGCAGCGTCACTGGCCCTCATGTGGGATCCGAACTGGGGCCCTGCTGCTCAGAGCTGGTGTCCCAAGCCAACTCCTAACCAACGCACCACTTGGCCGGCCCGACTTCCAGGTTTTTGTGTGAGCATTTGGGAATACCAATATAGGAAGATTGGGAGAGGAGCAGATTTGGAGGGGCTGGGAGGGAAAGGTGATTCAGAAACTAAACTTGAGATTCTTTTAAAATATCCTAGTGGAGATGTTGAATAGGCAGTGAGTATAGGATCTTGGAGCTTAGGGAAGAGGACTGGAGATTTGAATTTGGGAGAGATTTAAATTTGGGGAACCATTGGTGAACATAAATGGTATTTGAAGTCATGGATTGCATGAGATGTGCGAGAGGAGGTAGGTGGAAAGAGGAGGAGGAAACGGAGGGTGTCACAGACATCAAATGGAAAAGATCGTTGGAGAGGAAAGGAGGGCTCAGCTGTATCAAATGTTGCTGATAGGTCCAGTGAGAAGAGAACAGAGACTTGCTCCACGGACTTGAGTCACTCTCTTCCCAGGGGTGGGTGATACGGGGTTCATCTGGCACATTTATGTTTTATGCATTTTGTTTATGTAACAGTTCATAGTCATAAAGAAGATCGCATGAAGAAGCGGTGACCAAAAACAGACAAGTCTTTCAAGGAGCTTCACTACAAAGGGGACAGAGAAATGGGGCTGGTGGGGGTTGTCAGAGGAGGCTTATTCCCTCCTCCCCTCCCCTTTCTCTCTTCCCCTTCCCTCCCCCTCCTCCCTTTACACCTCCTTTGGAAAGGAGATACCTTGGTGGGTCGGAGCGGAGCGCAGTCAGCATGGAGGTGCATCTGCATCTCCCCACAGGCAGCTGCCCCTGAGGAGGTGCTGAATGGGCAGAGTTGCATTTTGCAGGGCTGGGGTTTTGCCAGGTGAGTGAGGCAGCGGGGAGAAGTGAGACCAGGGCGTTGAAGCTCTATGAAAGGGACTGGCTTGTAGAGTGAGAGCATGGACTCTAAGTTGGCTAAGAAGGGAAGTGAGAACATGAGTCGGGTATTCAGTAGTATTTCCGTACTAGAGTCAGGGTCAAAGAATTCCTGAAATGGAGGAAATCGGAATAGTGATCTGGAAAGATGGGATATCAGGGCAGAAAGCGGGGTGCTTGCAGGTGAGATTTTGGACGTGTGAAGTGACAGGGTCCAGGGCCTGACCACGGGAGTGGGTAGCTGAGGTGGGGTGGAGGAAACCACCTTTGGAAGGGACATCCTGGCATTGAGAGGCCCGAGTGCTGAACAAGAGATTGTGTAGATACTGAAGAGAGTAAAGGTGGCCGTCATGACAAGAGTGGCAGCGCGCCCCGAGGGCTCTGGGCCTCTCCTTGGAGAACTTAGGATAATCGTGAGATGATATTCGTGAGGTGCATGTCTCCCTGGGTTTGGGTACTTAGTCTTCTCCTGCACTGAAACACACAGTTGTTTGCTTCTCATTTAATCTTGACCGTGAGCTTGGAGGTGTCCGCACTGTAAAATAAGTAAACAGGCTCAGAAGGTTAGGTCAGTTGCCTCGAGGTCACAAAGCTGGTAAGTGGAGAGGCCAGGATTTAACCCTGGCAGTCCAGAGTCTGATTTGTAACTTGCAATGTTAAACCACTTCCTTAATTTCTGAGCCTTAGTTCCCCTTTCATCTATAGGTACAGCACCATGTCCTGCCCATCAGAGTAAGGATGTGTCAAGTGTTAATTTTCCTTGCCTTTCTCAGGTTTCCCCAATGTGGGTAAGTCCTCGCTGATCAATGGGCTGGTAGGGCGGAAGGTCGTAAGTGTCTCCAGAACCCCGGGCCACACGCGATACTTTCAGACCTACTTTCTCACGCCCTCTGTGAAGCTCTGTGACTGCCCGGGCCTCATATTTCCCTCCCTTCTACCCAAGCAATTACAGGTATGAGGGCAGAGGGGTTGGGGAGGGAGCAGGCCCGACATGGAGGGAGGTGCTGAGCGCTCTGTCCCCTTAGGTTCTGGCGGGGATCTACCCCATCGCCCAGATCCAGGAGCCGTATACTGCAGTGGGCTACCTGGCCTCCCGAATCCCTGTGCAGGCCCTGCTCCACCTGCGCCACCCCGAGGCCAAGGACCCCTCGGCAGAGCACCCCTGGTGTGCCTGGGACATCTGCGAAGGTAGGTTCCATGCCTGGCTCCTCCCCCTGCCCTTGACTCCTTACCTCTTCTCAGGGGTTCTGCCACCAGCCCCGTGGCTCGCCACTCTCCCCTAGATTTCTGTCACAGGGCCAGCATGCGCTCTGGCCTGGAATATTCTGGGGCAAATTGGAAGGACTGTGTTAGGGAGTGGGGTTAATGGCTTCCCTCCCCATTATTCTTTTCTCCCTCCAGCCTGGGCAGAGAAACGTGGTTACAAGACAGCCAAGGCTGCGCGGAATGATGTGTACAGAGCGGCCAACAGCCTCCTGCGGCTGGCGCTGGATGGCCGCCTTAGCCTGTGCTTTCATCCCCCGGGCTACAGCGAACAGAAAGGTCGGCCAGCCAGTATGCTTCCCCAGCCCCTGCTGTAGTGTAGGCTGAAGGGTGTGGGCTTGTGGCCACAAACTGAGGGCAAGTCTGGATTCTGTGCGAGCCTGTCAGCTCTGCATTACTAAGCGTCTCCGAGGTGGTCCCTGATCTGCAAAACCGAGCTTATAGTTGCCCCGTGGCAAGGTGGTGATAAAGATGGGAGTTAATGTGTGCAGAGCTATTCAGTGCCCAGCACATGGGGGGAGGTTGAACGAACGAATGAATGAATGCATGCATGTATGCCAACAGCTGTAAAAATTGTTAGTCTTTGTTCTTCCCCATCTTTCTCTGGCTTTAGTTTCTTGTTCAAAACTCTCCTCTGTTCTTTTTCTTTTTTGGTTCCCTAGGCACCTGGGAGTCCCATCCAGAGACCACGGAGCTGGTGGTTTTGCAGGGTCGGGTGGGGCCAGCAGGTGATGAGGAGGAAGAGGAGGAGGAGGAGGAGGAAGAGCTGAGCAGCTCCTGTGAGGAGGAGGGAGAGGAGGACCGGGATGCAGATGAGGAGGGGGAGGGGGATGAGGACACCCCAACCTCAGCTCCAGGGTCCAGCCTGGCCTCGAGGAACCCTTATTCCCTTTTGGGGGAGGACGAGTGCTGAGGCCCTGCCCTGCGCCATCTCCCTCACCCAGTGTCTTTGCTTTTGGACTGACCTGGGAGTATTTCTCCTCTGCCACCCTAATTGTGAATAAAGATTGTCTGCTTTGTAGCCCCTTCCCCAGATGGACTGAAGTGAGAGCAGCTGTTTCAGACTGACAGCTGTGGGAGGCTTCTCTTCTCCCTTTTTTCATGCATTCTCTTTGTGAAGGAAAAGTTCTTTTAGGAGCTAATTCAGTGGGTTCTAAGGCCCTGAAACTGCTTCCTCTGCCTTCTCTGCACCTTGCACTGTGGGAATTCCCTTATCAGCATGGGGAGGGCAGGGCCCTTCAGGCTGGAGGCCTGGTCTCCAGCCAGCCTCCTTTGGACTTTGTGCCATTCCCTCTCAGATAGGAGCAGCAGCCCTGGGCGCCCCCTGCTGCCAGACCTGGGCTATACCAGGAGCTTCTGGGAGAACAAGCAGGAAGAGTTGTCAAGATGATGTCTCCAAGTGAGATTTTTACAGGGTTTATTCAAATTAGGAAATATTTATTGAGAGCCAACTGTGTCTCTGGACCTGTGCTAAACACTGAGCGTATAAAGGTCCACAGACATGGCCTGACTTAAATTTGCAGCCTGGCCACGATCAAGACCCCATTATTAGGCACCCAATTTTTTGGATTAAGAAGGGTTTATAATGTTTTCCAAATTCTTGAGGCTCATACAGTATAATTCTAAAACTCCCTGTTCATGAAAATATAATTAAGACTAAATGCTTGTGAAAATGTTGATTAAATGTGTACAAGTACAGTCTTAATTACTGGCAAACAAATAGTGTGCACGTTTATGATTTGAGCAGACTAGCTCTTTAAATATAGTGTTAAGTTTCATTACGTAAAAGCCATATGCACTAAGGGTATATGAGATTCAGAGGGGAGGGCACAGAAGCAGCCTCCTGAATCCCATTTTCCCTGTGTGGGAATGGAGCCAGTGTGACTCAGTGCAGGGTCTGAGCTGTCCTACAGTGTCATGCATTTCAGCAGTGATCAGCTCTCTTGTGAGTCAGGGCACCTCAGGCTTTGCTGTGTGTCTCCCTCGTCAAGCAAGCAACTAGACTCCTAGATTTAATTCTTGGAAACAAGGGAGAATGGATTTTGTTTTAGTGGCTGCCATAGTGCTATCTGGGATGGGTGGTAGCAAAGTGTTGCTTGACTGGTCAACCATTAGGTGTAGGAGTGAGGAGAAGGGGCAGCACCAGACCTTTCTCTTCACTCATACATCACAGTCAGGTCCTGGGTCACTGGTCCGTAATGCCAGCAGAGACCCTGTCAACGCAGGAGCAAAAGAGGCTGAGGTGTTGGGAGCCACACATCCCATCCAGCTCCCCCTCCATTGGTCGCAGTGAGGACATGAGCCCTGGAATTGCACTCCAGTGCCAAGTGTAAACACTACAGGCATGTCAGTGTGCTTCAAGGCTGCCCAAAGAGCTGTGAAAAAAACTGTCCAGCTTGAGAGAAAAACCTGCCTTGAGCCTCAGTTCTGGGTCTGATGGAAGAAAGGGGGGTCCCAGCTCAGTTTCCTTTGGGGGTTTGTGATATTCAGGGAGGCTCAGGGGACTTCTCTGCTGCTGGAGGTGGGGTAGGGATATTGGAATCTTCTCAAAAAGTGGAGAAAAAGGAGAATTTCACTTTGTCTTTTGCTGTCTTATGAGTGTCAGTGGGGGCAATGGGGGGACTCAGGTGGGGATGAAGATTTGAGGCCTGGAGCTGGAGGGGAAGCTGAGGAGGGGTATTTTTATGCTGAAAACCTGGAAGCAGGCAACTCTGACATCCCTGAGGGACTAGACTAAATGAACCTTCCCAGGCCCCTGCCAGTGCCTCTGACTCCATAGGAAAGTAACCTAGAAAAAGAACTATTAGCAACAAACAAACCTGGGAGGAGGACAAATAATACCCTAACGCCAGTGCTCGAAGCTGAGGTTGAAACTGACTAAGAGGGACAAAGGCAACCAGGGGCCTAGCTCCCCTCCGTGCTGAAATATCCAAGACCCCTGTCCTCACACCCCTCTTGCCTGGGTCATACCCACTATGGGTCTACTTGACCAGGGAGGTCTGAGGCTCTGGTCGTTCCCACAGCTTCTGGCCAGAAACCAGCGCATCTTATTTATGTTGGAATTCCATTTAGACATTGATCAAGCTCCTTCCAGGCTTGTCTTTTTCCAGACTGATTTCTAGTCATGCTTCTGGGACAACGTAGCTGTGTGTGGTCCAGGATAGCTAAATTATCTGGACCTCTGGTTTTTTTGTTTTGTTTTTTAAGATTTTATTGGGAAATTGGGGAAGGGGACCAGCCAA